CCCACATGCCATCTGTCATTAAGTCTTGTTAAGATATGTCTCAAATCCAGTAAAAAGACCAGTGGTTGCCAAAAATTAGGAAGGAAAGAGTGATGAATAGGCAGAGCACAGGCAATTTTTAGGGCAGTGAAACTATTCCATGTGATACTGTAATGGTGGATGCATGTCATTATACACTTATCTAAAAATGTATAATAACATGTATTATAGTACATACATATTATAGTACATATAGAATGTACAATACCAAGTATGAACCCTATGGACTTTGGGTGATAATGATGTCAATGTAGGTTCATCAATAGTGACAAATGTACCACTCTGGTGGAGGATGTTGATAATGGGGGAGGCTGTGCATGTATAGGGCCAGGGGGCACATGAGAACTCCGTACATTTTGCTCAGTTTTGCTGTGAATCTAAAACTGCTCTAAATAATAAAGTATATTTAAAAGGAAATACAGATACACTATACATTATATATATATAATTATACACTCAAAAATATGTCTCAAATCCACACCTTCTCTATATTCCCACTGTCAACATCTTGTTTCAGAATCTCATCACCTCTCACCTGGACCAGCCTCCTAACTGGCCCAGTCTTACCTTCTTTTATACATTCTTCACATTGAAGCCTGAGTGATCTCTCTCAAACAGACAATCCTCTCTCCTGCCTCAAACCCCTCAGTGGTCCTCCAAATCTCTCAGCATCAAGTTCAAACTCCACAACATGGTCTGCGTAGGACCTGCATCATTGGCCACTCCCTCTCTAGTCCAGCTACAGGGAACTTCTGCTGCTTCCTCTGTGTCTGTTTCCCCTGTTCCAGGGGCCTCTTCCCCATTCCGTACCCTCTCTTGGCTAACTTTGACCCATCCTTCAGGTGTCTATGTGAACAACTCTTCTTCCTGCACATCTGCCTTGATTCCTCCTGTCTGGGTTAAGTGCCCCTACACTGTGCTTTCTTAGAACCTCATCATCAAGTATCTAGTTATTTACCTCTGTGCCCCATTAGACTGAGAGACTGAGCGAGCAGGGATGGCATCTGCCATGTTTTTTGTATCTCTAAGTCACCTGGCTCAGGGCTTACAGACAGTAAACATTTGGTAAATAGTAGTTGAATGAATGGGTGAGGTTTGTTGATGTCTATACTAAGAGCTCTCAGCTCCCCGCTCTGCTTTCTACATAGAGAGGGCAGCTGGGGTGCCGTAAGGGTGATCCCAGGTGAGTGGTGAGACCAGAGGGCTGGGGCATCTTCTGCTCCAGACTAAGAGGTAAAATGATGGTAGGAGAACATGCTTCAAGGTAGTAAGCAGAAACAGTTTCAGAGTTGAGACAAAGTTCAGGCTTCTTCTTCCATTATGTACAGAGTGAGAAAGCATCCCTGCCTATGTGTGGAGGGGCTTTTGAACATGTACTGATCTGGTCTGACCCAACTAAAATGACCTACTTCTCCTGCCCCTCTTTCTGCCCTTTCCTGGTCACGGCGGGAATCTTTCCAGAGCATATGTGTCTTATAAGAACATTCCGGCAAGTTCACGCTTTTGGTCTGCTCTGAGTTGAGATCAGAGGCAGCTTGGATTTGGGGTTTGCTTTCAGAATTCATGGAAGTCTCAAAGCTCTATTTTTGAGTAACCCCAAAAGCCCCTCCACACTTGGTTGGCTTCCAGCCCATATCATTCTCCTTCCCTTCATCCCCTGCAGCCAGGCAGATTCAAGCTTGAGAGACAATGGAATTATGGGTAAATTGTTTGCTCACAGTGAGGGGGTCCACCCCGCCCCACCCAACCCAAGCTTCCCTTCAGGCAAGGTCAGTATCAGCAAACAGCTAGCTGCACTCCCCTCCCGGGAACGCAAAAGAGACAAATTTAATAAAAATCTATCTTATTGACAGCCTGACCTACCAGCATGGATCACATTAGAAATGATGCCCACACACACAGTCCCCATCACGCACAAAGGGCCAGGCTCAGTGGAGCTCCAAAAACCACTTAAGTCTGTCCAGTGGTGATTCTTTCCCCAAGGGCCCAAAACATCCCCCAAACTAATAACCCCCAGAAAAGCACTGCCAGGGAAAATTCCTTGCGGATTTGAGATTTTCACTCTGTTAATCTCCTAACTCAATAAAGCAAACACTCCCATAACAAATTAAATACTTTTATTAAAAGGTCCCCTCCCCCAATCTCTTTGATGTGGGTACAAACCTGCAACCCTCTTAGGGCCTGAGTGTCCACATGAGGGGTTGTTCCCGCCTCCTATCATTTTCTCCTGTTATTCCAAGAAGGCCCAGAACCCACTAGGATTTGCTGATTCTTGTATTCTGGAAACTTTCGAGACCTCTGGCTTCCCTGAGTAGATGGCACAGCCTGTCAGCTGAGGGAAATTCTTCCCATTTTTTGGTGGGGTGACAGGCCCCTAACAGGCCCGGCCCGGAGCACCTCTACTGATGCAGTTTGCCAGGAGGAGCCCCCAGCACAGCTGTCCAGGCCGAGGTGGACTTGCTCACCGATAACCAAACCCTGTCTCTGACTTCTGCAGAGGCCTACTGCTCAGACCTCCAACAGTGAGCTGCAAACCAGCCGGGGGGAGCTGGAGAGAAGATTAAAGGAGGCTGGGGTGGAGAAAGGAGCTCGAGATAAGGAGGCCTGAGCGGCTCTCCCCCCACTGCTTCCTGCCCCAAAGCTGGCCCTCAAGATGCTCCTTTCTCCATCAACCTGGAATTGGGTTCAGCTGTTTAACTTCTTCCAGCCTCCACTTTCCTCTTGCTATGGGTTTGAGGTCAACTTGGGTTACACTGGGGCCCTTCCCAGGGCTCCTTAAATGCTGTCCTTGGAAAGCCTGACTTGTGGGGAAACAACCTGGTTTGCAGATGGTAACCCCAGGCCCCTTTAAATTTTAAAGGAGCCTTCTTCCAGAAACATCATTATCTACAGTTTATCGCTTTCATTGCAGGGTCTATAGTGAGCAAGGCTCTATGGATCAACACTCAGAGAGAAACTGGGTATTTCGTCTATGGCAACAATCATGTCTCTGACAGCCCTGGGGCCTTCTCAGCAAGGGCTCTGTGGGTGCGTACGATAGGCCCTCATGGAAAGTCTGGTCCTGGCAACTATTACCAGGGATTCTGAATGCACACCTTACCCAGGGTAGGGAGAAGTCACCCTCTTCCTACTGGGCCTTGGAGAAGGCCTTTCTCAACTTTCCTTCTCTCTATATGCCCACCCTGGACAAGAAAGTCATTTGCCCAGGGAGGTACAAGCCCCTCAGAGGCATTAAGCCACAGTAGCACAGACTGGGCCCTGGTCATTTGAAATGTCCTCCCCTCTCTTATCAGCCCTGGATGGATGTCCTGGGCTCTGTGGCTGTCGCCGTTTATCTCTCACACCGGTTGCATTCCCTCCAGAATTATATCCTCCCATGGAAATCAAAACAGAGTCCCTGGAAGTTGAAGGAAGGGGAGAGAAGCGGCTGAGAAATTGGAGAAAACATGACGAAGTTCATAAGCACTCAAGTTGGAGAGTCAGATAGCCCTGGGCTAGCAGCCAGACTCAGCTGCCTGCAGGCTCTGGCCCTTGCATCTATTTGACCCTCTAAACCTCACTATCCTCATCTATAAAACGAGGGTTGTTTGGCATGTAGTAAGGGCTCATTGAATGGGCTGATAAGAAGAGGCTCCACAGCTTCCAGACAGGGACTGGGCCCAGCCATGAGGCTAGGAATTCATTCCTTCTGAGGCCTGCAGGAATTTGCTAGTCACTCAATGGCCTTTTTTCTTTTTTTCTTTTTCCAGGAGAGATTGGAGGGGGAAGCTTGGGAATGTTAAATCCGCACCTCGTTCTACAGAAGAGCTACTGAGGTGAGTGAGGTTGGTAGGTAAGAAAAGGGCCCAGGCTGTGATTGGGGCAGCTGCCAGGCCCTGGGTGTCATGGTGGCCCCCAGGCAAAGCCACCTTGGGCACAGCTTGGCAGTTCGTTCAGGCATTCTCAACGGGGGCAATATCAGCCCCAAGGGGGCAAGCATTGGTTCTTAGGAGAGCAAAAAAGTTTAAGATATTACAATGGTTTGTGGCACTCCAAAGCTCAAACCTACCTGACAACATTTAATTTCTTAGCATTTCATTCCTCTCATTAGAAATAAATTTAATTCTAGTTTAACAAAGTTAATTTAAATTTAAAATTTTGGTGGGGGGGACATTAATATAAAAAAAGGTTGAGAAACATTGGTACGCTCTGCTTGCAGACTCTCAACTTCTGCCCCAGGGTCCCTCCTCCTCTCACCAGCCCCTCCTGCTGCCCCTGCTGTATTCTGCCTTCTCCTTGAGGCCTTGGCAGCATTGAGGCCGCTGATCAGTCCAGCTCAATTTAGAGGCTGCTCTGCCCCAGGCACTGGGTATGGCCAGCGCTACTCCTTACCCTGATTCTCCCTTGGCTCCCGAGACTTCACCGTGTGGTTCTCCTCCAGCCTTTCGGCTCTTCTCTTCCTTCTACTGCCCCTATATACACAGCTCTCTCTGCTTCCCACGTGTGCCTCCAGGGCTACGCCCTGCTTGTCCTGCCCCAGACTCTGCCAAATCCCTTTGCTTCAGTGCTCACTGGAGCTCCCCAAGTAGGTGTTTCCTGGCACGCATTCTTCTTCCTCCAGGAAGCCCTCCTGTCTGCCCCAGCCTGCTCGGTGCTTTCCCTTCTACAACATTTAGTTTGGACCACTTGACATGAAAGGATATATGCCCCTGTGTTACTCTCTCATGGTTTCATGGGTGTCTGTTCTACTTTCCCACCAGGATTTTCATTTCTCTGAGGATGAGACAAAGCCATAAGTTTCTGTTTGCTCCTTAGCATCCAACCCAGTTCTGCCACCAAGAAAGGCAAGTAGGTGGGTCTTTGGGGGCCAGGAAGCGCCCTAGTAGAACTCAAGGTATGAGATGCCACTGGTCAGCTCCGCCTGGGCCCGGGCAGACTGCAGTGGAAAGGCCCCTCTACCTGTCTCCGGGGTTCTGCCTCACCTGGCCGACTCCTTCCACTCCATCTGGTCTCCGTCGTGCTGCAGAGTGTCCATCTCTGTGAAGAGGGTGGGGTTGGGAGCCTCATCTTCCTCCCCCAGGATGTCCTGGAGCTGCTCAGCAGCTGGAGACCCTGCAAAAGGAGGGCAGCAGGTTCTGCTGAGTGCCCCGCGGGAGGTAGAGGCCAGCCGAAATGCAGCAGGACCCAAGGGCAAGGGCAAAGTATTCCCCGACCCACGGCTTCCCTGGTGGCGCAGTGGTTGGGAGTCCGCCTGCCGATGCAGGGGACACGGGTTCGTGCCCCGGTCCGGGAAGATCCCACATGCCACGGAGCGGCTGGGCCCGTGAGCCATGGCCGCTGAGCCTGCGCTCCGCAACGGGAGAGGCCACAGCAGTGAGAAGCCCGCATACCACAAAAAAAAAAAAAAAAGTATTTCCTAATTCAGTAAAACGAAGTCCACCCTCTGGGCAAAGCTAGACTCAAGTTTCTGTGGATTGGATGTAGGTGGGATATTCTTCAAGATAAAAGACATGAAAGGATTTAGTCTGTATTCAGACTCCTGGGTCTTGTAGCTGACACTGAAGAAAGACGGAAAATGGCCAAAGCCAGGGCAGCAGCAAGGACAGGGAACAGAACAAATAAGTGAGGGGAGAAAAACTCTGTCCCAACTTGAGCATAACATGCCCAGAGGGACCCCTTTTCCACTGGACTCCACACACTCAACTCCCAGCATTGGCCTTGAAGGGGCAATCAGACATGTGAAAGGATGTGCTTGTACCAGTGTGGCACGTGGGCCCACTTTCTTCATGAGCAACCTAACAGTCTATCCCTGAGCTCCCAGTCTGCTTTCCAACTGCCCAGGGGATGTCGCCTTCTGGGTGTCTCTCAGGCACCTCAAGTCAGCATTCTGACACGGAACACATACTCTTCCCCAAACATGCTTCTCCTGCCTTCCCTCCTTGCCTCCCTCCCTCCCCGCCTCCCTTTCTTCCTCCCTCCCTCCTCCCTCCCTCCCTCTCTTCCTTCTTTCTCTCACTCAATATTTAATGAATGCCTACTATGTGCCAGGCATTGGTCTAGGTGTAGGGAAACAAAGCTGTGAAGGAGGCCCATATATTCTTGATCTCTTGAGCCTCTCCAGTGGCAGATACAGACAATAAACAAGTAAACAAATCCACAAAATTCAGTTCAGTGATAAGTAGTAATAAGTGTTCTGAAAAAAAAAAAAAAGACCACGGAGCTATATTAGATAGCATAGTCAAGAAAGGCCTCTCTGAGGAGGGCGTATTTGAATTGGAACTTGAAAAATGAGAATGAACCACTTCTGCATATCTGGAAGAAGAGTGCTGCAAGCGTGCCAAAGACCTGAGGTGGGGTGTGCTGGTTAGTGTGTCTAGGGCATGGTGGGCCGGAGAGAGAGAGGTATCACACAACATTGAATGCCTTGGTTAGAGGCATAACTGTCCACCCAACCGCACAGGCTAGACACGCTGGCATCATCCTCACCTCACCTCTTTCTCTCACCTCCACTCCCACATTAAAAGTTTTCGAGAATACTCTCCTTCCTCACCAATCCCATTGCCCCTGCCCTGGTTCAATCTCTCACTGACTGTCTTTAGGCTTCATCAAGTCTTCCTCTTCCTCCAAGCCTCTCTATCCCCTCAGTCATCCCTCTGGCTTTCACTTATTTCTCCATGGACTCCCAATGGTCAATAATTTCAACTACCCTTCTCATCACAGTCTCCAGTCTCTTACTCCTTGACTTCCCAATAAAACCAGGCAGCTGATGCCCAAACAAGAATTCACTGGCCCAATCTCCACCTCTTCAAATGTGTCCTGGGGTGCAGGGAGAGGCAGTGTGGTATGGTGGTACGGTGGATGCAAGGCACACGCTAGGCTTTCAATCCATCTAGATGTGGGTATGAATCTCAGAGTTGCTACTTACTCATGAGAGAATTCAGTCTGAGTGAACAGGGTTATTGTCCCAATAAATCAGGTAAGGAGAATAACATGTGACACAGGGCCTGGAATATAACAGGTGCCAATCCCCCTTGCCACCAAGCTTAGCACTCAGGCTCATGAGTCTCTCTGGTGAAAACCACCCAGCTGTACAAATGGGGGGCTTCCACTGTTAACAGGTCTCAGAAGTACAGCCACTTCCACTCATCCTTGCATGCCCTTTCCCATGTTCCTCCACGCCACCACTAACTTTTGCTCCTCTCTGCAAGCCTCTTGATCTATCTCTTATCCCACATCACCAAGAAAATAAGACCTCCAGGCATGAAATCCATCAACTTCCTCCTTTCCAGTGCTTCTGTGTCCTTACCACTGCTGCAGTCTATCTCTGAACAAGAGTTCTTCCTCTAGCCTATCTCTGGCCCCGTCTATTCCCTTCTACTGGATCCTTATTTTGTCAACGAGTCTTTCCTTACCTGGGTCTTCAACTTCTCTCCCTCCACCCTCTTTCTCTCAACCCATAAACAGCTCTTCCTACCATGAAACACCTTCCCCTGATCCTGCCTGCCTTCTAAGCTCTGCTGCTCTCTTTTTCCCTTCTCTCTCCTCAACTTATTGAAGGGGAGGTCTACACTCGCTGCCTCTATTTCCTCCTTACCTAATCATTTCCCAACCTGCTGCAACTGATTCATCCCCACCACACTAAGGACATTGACTAAGGCAGAGATTTTAAACTGGAAGCTCAAAGATGTGTTTAATTCAGCCCTCATAGAGTATAAAAGTTTTTGAAATTGTTGCTAATATAAAGAATTATGAGATTGCATATAAAAATCTAGATTTCTGACTTTTCTTGAAAATTCAGATACTCTGATGACAGTGCCCATGTTCCTACCTGACAACAATTAGAGCTCAGTGATGGATAAGAATATGCATTTTAGTTTTCCACAGTCCCCACTACTCCCTATTATTACCTGCTAATCTCATTTATACTAAGCATCCAAGTTTACAACCCTGCTCTCAGATCTCTCTTGTTCTATTCTCAAATCAATAAGTCAATAAAATCAATCAAACCTACAGCACTGTGAAGCTATGGTCTGGCTTATGTCTCTGGGACATGAGTGGTGCTGACTGCTCCCTCTGAACTGAAATGCTCTTGGTTCTTATAAGATAGCACTTTCTTGATATTTTTTCCTATCTCTTTGAGGACTCCTTCCCTGGCCCTTCTTGCATGTCTCACTTAAATCTTGATCTTCCCCAGGATTCCTCCTTGGCCTTCTTGTCTCCTCTCTTTCTACACCCCTACTGGACCACCTCATGTTCTTTTTGGTGTCACCCTATAGCCGAGGTTACCCGCGTCTCTAGGTCCTGACTTACTGAGCATTTCCGACTGCCAGCTGGACTGCTCCATCTGGTAGTTCTCCAGCCTTCTCGAGTCAATCTCAACATATTCAAAGCAGCCCTGCCTCCCGTCTTCCAACACCCCAACCTTGCCCTCCTCTGTTTTGATTAATAGTGCTCCTGGCTACCCAGCTACTCTTCTCCAGAGGAGAAGTCTTGGGCTCACTCCTGAAGCCTCCTTCTCTCTCATCATCCATGTCCAATCAGACACTAACGTCTTCCACTCACTTCCTGACTATTTTTTAGCTCTCTCCCTTTTTCCCACCATTGCCACCACCTTTGTTCAGGTTCTCATTATCTCCTATTCCTATCATCGCAAGAGCCACCTACTGCTCCCACTGCCTCTGCTTACCCCACCCATCTCATTCCCTATGTAGCACCAGAGTTTGCTTTAAGACATTGCAAACGTTCACATGGCAAACTCCTGGGAGTCATGGTGCTCTTTGAGCAGCACCATAAAATATTGTGCATATGAGTTAGAAATAATTTTACTAGCAGAAAATACTACCAATTTATCTCAATGGACTGCATTTATTTAAATGGATTTTTATTTCCGAATTTTTCTACTACTTTAAACTTAGTCCTTTTTATTGATTATTGACACTTGCTAGCAGACGTCAAAGATTTAAGGAAATTTTATAGAAGAAAATTTAACAATTGAACACATAACCTTATTTTTTCCTTAAACTGGGAGAAGACTATGACTGCCTGATTCTGAGAGGGCACACCAATTCTCCATGAGATCAGCGTTCAAGAACTACTCTTTTAAAATGTAGATTTGGTCACGTTACTCTCCAGGTGAAAAACATTCAATAGCTCTCTATTACCTAAAGCCTAGGGTCTATGACATGGCTCAAAACATCCCTCATGATCTGGCCCTAACCTGCCCTGGTAGGTTGTCATGTTCCTCCTCCAGACACCCCAGACTCCAGCCACCCTGGACCCTGGATACTCTGGACCGAAGTTACCCTGGATCCCAGCCACCCTGGACACCAGCCATCCTTAAGCCCAGACACTGTGGACCCCAGCCACTCTTGACCCTACATGCCCTGGACCCCAGCCACATCAGACCACACACAGTTCTCTGAAGAGGAGAGCACATCACTCCTTGGACCTTTTGTGCCTACCATTCCCTAAATTTGCAATCCCTTTCCGCCTTCAAGGCCAAATAAGAAGGCAAATAAATGGAACAGTCATGAAATGATGAGACCCGACAGAGAGGGCGATGCCTGAACCAGCCCTGTCTGGGGCATTACCTGCTCCCTGGAGTAGCTGAGCGCTGGGGTCTCCGGCTGTGGACACTGCCTCTGGCCCCAGCCTGTTTCTGCTGCTGCCACCCTGGCTGCTGCCTTCACACGTCCTCTTCCCCACCAGCAGAGCACAACAAACTCACTTTTGTTTCCAGTTAAGCACCAGGGGAGGTGTGGGGAGAGGAGAAGGGGGGGGGGGAAAGGGGGGGGGGGGGGGGGGGGGGGGGGGGGAGAGAAAAGGAATGTATGAAAGACTGAGGAAGTGGAGAGAGGGTTGTATGTGAGAAGATGTAGTAAGCATGAGAGGAAAAAATATTGAGAGTGAATTAAAGATATTGTGAGTATAAGAGAATTTTGTGTGTGTGTGTGTGTGAGAGAGAGAGAGAGAGAGAGAGAAAGGCAGTGGGGAGAGTGAGAGAGAGTTCTCAGGTTCTCAGGTGCGGTGGAGACAGAAGGGCTCTGTGGCGGGGGCAGAACCTCCCGCAGGCAGCCGGGTCTCCACAGCAGCAGGGGGTGGCAGCTGCAGGC